AGTAATGTTAAGAAACAACTTATACTCACATGTTTGTTACTAATCACTTGACACTTGATTCTTAACATTACATAACTATTAGTAACAAACATGTGAGTATAAGTTGAGTTATGTAATGTTAAGAATCAAGTGATTAGTAACAAACATGAGTATAAGTTGAGTTATATAAAGTTAAGAATTTTGCAAGGTCGTGGAATTGTTTGATCAGTAATGAAGAAGTTTTCTTTTATCGTGTATTTTCTATTTTGGATCCACGACCAGAGTTGGGTAATAAATCAACATAATCAGTTACTTATGAGAATCAATTGTGTTGATTAATTTAAATAATGATTAGATTGATTAATGTCTCAAAATAATCAACTAATCAAATTTGTGGTTTTTATTACTGTAATTATTCAAGTAATCAAAATATTATAGTCATTATATCTTATTATTCAAGTTTGTTTAACTTAATCAATTAAGGTCATAATAACAAAAATCAATGTTTCTGATAATATCTATTTTCAGTTATTTGAAATATTGAAGCCTCAACTGTAAATAATCAGTAAGTTGAGTGTAATCCATCAATGAGCAAGACAATCTATAAGTTTGAGTATGAATTATTCCACATTTAATAACCCTCTGTGAACAGCATCTGTCCATTGTACTACACCTGATTCTGTGAAGCTATACATAAGATGTTTACAATAACACTGAATGTACTATATACCTTCTCATGAAATTTGGCAAACTATCAATAAATATTAAAATACAAAAAATCAGATTTTCAAATTTGTCTACTAAATATTTATCTCTAATTTATTAAGCCTTTACTGAATTGAGTGAAATGTGATTTGTATGATAAGAATAAAAATACTTATGTTAATCTTATTTCATCAGCACAACCTCCTAGACCATCCTAAATGGATACCAAAAGCTGTTTTTTTTCATTACCAGTAACTGTAGCTATATGATCTGTGTATAGTGATATAAAAATTATTCATTTTTGATTTTCCTTTGAAAGAATCATTTCTTGACAGATCTTCATATATATCTGCTTGTTTTTAATTTTATTAGTTTACACTACCCTGTCTTGTAAAGTTTTTTACTTAATTTTTTCATTTACTTTTTGTTATCTAACTTAGTAAGTTTATAATGATTATATTTGTTACTTTTGTTTAGCAATTAGTCTTAGTTGTATTTTCTCCTATACCATTTGCTTAGGCTTACTATAGTCTTTGTTATTTTAGGATTACCTGTAATTCATCTTACTGGTATATCATTCATTTTTTTACCTATATATCATGACTCATACATACGTTATTTTCCTACACAATTTGTTACTTTTATATAACCACATCTATTTCATTTTTCTTATTAATCTTTTATTCTTCTTCTTCACATGGTTTGTGTGGAACCCTTGAGCTGGGGTCAACACAAACTTCTCCCAGTGCTGTACATATATATTTTTCGGTTTTATTTTTATTTTAATGCTTAGTGATATCCTTTGTTCTTTACTGTTTGATTAGACTTAACAAGTGTTTGTTCTTTTCAGTTTACCTGTAGTTCTACTTCTGGGCTAATTGATAATTAGGTTAAATATCTTGTTTGATTAGGCTTAATTAGTGTTTGTTATTTTCGGTTTACCGTGATTTTATTTACGGGTTAATCTATAATTAGGTTAAATATCTTTTCTTCAACACATAACATTATGTTTAATTCACAAGAAAATTTCTTACCATTTCCTCTATGTCAACTATTTCATTTTCATCTTTTTTATAGCGGTATGTATGTCTGCAGATTTACAATGCTAGAAACCGGAGGTTGATACCTGTGGTGTGCAGAGCACAGATATTCCATTGTGTAGCTTTGTGCTTACTTCAAACAAACAAACAAATCTTACCATTAATATTGTTTGTGAGGGCCCCTTGGGGCTGGAGTCTACCCTGCCTGCTCCCACTATTGTTTGTTTTCTTCCTATAATGGCTGAATCCATTTTCAAACAACCTAGATTATGTCAGTTTTCCTTAACCTTATCATGAATGTCTTTCATGTCTTTTTTTTTTGAGAGGTCTTATCCCCTTCCCACCCAAGCACTTCCCAGTTCAAGGTGCTTTAGTTTGACTAATCCTGTTTTGTTTAGACTTCTTGACAATGATGGGTTATATCACTCACCAAGGGGACACTCCTTTTTTGTTCCTTTTGAGGTAAACAATGGATTTAAATTTTTTGTACCCAAGTATTTGACATAGGTTTTCTGGAGGGTCGTGTTCCAGGTGCTTTGTTCATATTGCCAATTGACTTTCCAGTCCCAACACACTTTCTCCCAAGGAGTGACCTCTCGATCCTTCTACTTTTTGGTGGCTCTGCTTCCTGTGGGGTACTCCTTCATGTGAAAGTTTTGAATCTTTTATCACTTCCCAGTTAATTATCTATTGTTCTTGGTTCATCATCCACTTGCCCTGTCTGTCATTCAGTTCAGACAAGTATACATTAGATTTTTTCTCATATAATCAGTTTTCTTCCCTAAATTTTTGTGCATCCACGTCGCTCTGTTTGGGGTCTTTCTGATTGATCTTTCCTGGCCATCACTACCTTGGTTTTCTCAGCTGTTTCTCACAAAACGTCCTCCACAACCCACCAGGATACTAAAAAGACTTAAAACATTTTACACACATTGACCTGAAGATGAAAGATGTAAGGCTTTCAAAACATTGTTTTTTATGCTTATGTTTTTTTACAATAGGCAGTTGCTGTCCATTTCAACTTACTCATCAAATTTTCATGCACATTGTCATTTCTTTGAAATTCATTTATATTTCTGCTTAGTTCATACCCTGGAAGAAGATGTACCACAGGCTGAAGACCAACAGTGATGCAGGGGTAAAAATCCAAATCAAAACTATCTGTGAAAATTATGACATGAATTCTGTGAAGTATTGCATTATAGGACTGATCAGGTAAGTGATAGCTAATAAGTACATTGCTGTTATAATTTTGAAATTATTTGATAAGTGACTATGTAGACAGGTGATTGGATATTAAATTTTTGTGGTGATCTGAATAATGTTTGGATGTTTTAAGGACAAAGTTGGTCTGTTTGACAAACTAAATATGCTATAACTGATTTTATTACATGTATCTCCATCAGATTTGGTAAGCAGTCAGTAATCATTACAATTTGTTGTATACAGTCAGAATAGTTTAAATAAAGTATTGCTTATAAAAAATTTCTGTCGTTTTCAAAGATATTAATGAGTCAACCTGAGTGCAAGGTGATTTTCGTGCAAAAAATGAAATAGTTCTTTTCATCTTCAGGTTTTCAGTATCTCTGGAACATCGTAAATGAATATCAAAAGTTGTTTTATATCCTAACATGAACTGTGGGGATATCATCAATGTACAGTGAAATGAATAGTGGAAAAATCTGAAATAAAATGAATAATGTTAGTCTTTCACTCTGCACTGACTATATTTTTGATAAAAAAGTTACAAATTACTTAAAACATATAACTGTTAACCATTTTAATATGTTTTCTTTTACATTTTTGGTTTTATTGTATATATTGTACCATTGGAACAGTAATCCTTGTGTAAAAAACAATAAATTACAGCAGGAGCCCATTAAATGTTTCTGGTACAGCTAACATGATCTATTGTCATATTTCACACCAGTGCTTGAGTTGGTGTAATTTTAGATATTCTGTTTTATTGAAGTTTTGTTAGGCTAAGCTGATAAATTTATAATTTTTACATTTTAGCTATTTTTATTATAAAATATAGAATGATAAATACAAAATGGACATTTAAAAAACGACAAGGAGTTGTTTTTTAAATGTCCATTTTGTATTTATTATTCTATATTTTAACACTGAGTACTAGAAAGACAAGAATTTCTAGTACTCAGTGTTAAAATATAGAATAATAAATACAAAATGGACATTTATAAAAAGAAGACAAGGATTTCTAGTACTCAGTGTTAAAATATAGAATAATAAATACAAAATGGACATTTATAAAAAGAAGACAAGGATTTCTAGTACTCAGTGTTAAAATATAGAATAATAAATACAAAATGGACATTTATAAAAAGAAGACAAGGATTTCTAGTACTCAGTGTTAAAATATAGAATAATAAATACAAAATGGACATTTAAAAACAACGACAAGAATTTCTAGTACTCTGTTAAAATATAGAATAATAAATATAAAATGGACATTTAAAAACAACGACAAGAATTTCTAGTACTCAGTTTATATTCAAGCGTTTGCAATAAAGTAAAATATTTGATTCTATTTCCTAAGATTTAGGTGTCTAAAAATATATGTAACTTTCAGATATAGAACATAGAAAATACAAGGCACTCTAATAGACTGTCCTAAATCTACTATAATTTATTCAGGTTTTTAAGTTAAGTAAGTTGTAAGTAGGTTACTAAAATCCTTTTAGCTGTTCAGAGCAGTAAAACTGGTCAACTAACAAGACATCTCTATCAAGTGAAATCTAATTTCACAAAGGTGGTTGTAAGCTTGATACAGAGGAGTACTTGCTCTTTTCCATTGGTCAAAATTTTATTAATAGGTCATGAAAAGTTGATTAGCAAACAATCTTGCAAGTTGGAGGAGTGGGTTTAACAAATAAGGAAGGTAGGAGGTTTTAGTTTTTTCTTGTAATTATGTACAGTTTGAATTTTAAGTGGTTGGAGGAGTGGGTTTAACAGATAAGAAAGGTAGGAGGTTTTAGTTTTTTTCTTGTAGTTATGTATAGTTTGAATTTTAAGTGGTTGGAGGAGTGGGTTTAACAAATAAGGAAGGTAGGAGGTTTTAGTTTTTTCTTGTAGTTATGTATAGTTTGAAGTTTAAGTGGTTGGAGGAGTGGGTTTAACAAATAAGGATGGTAGGAAGTTATAGTTTTTTCTTGTAGTAATGTATAGTTTGAATTTTAAGTGGTTGGAGGAGTGGGTTTAACAAATAAGGAAGGTAGGAGGTTTTAGTTTTTTTCTTGTAATTATGTATAGTTTGAATTTTAAGTGGTTGGAGGAGTGGGTTTAACAAATAAGGATAGTAGGAAGTTATAGTTTTTTTCCTGTAATTATGTATAGTTTGAATTTTAAGTGGTTGTAGGAGTGGGTTTAACAAATAAGGAAGGTAGTAGGTATTAGTTTTCCTTGTAATGCTAAAACCTCCTACCTTCCTTATTTGTTAAACCCACTCCTCCAACCACTTAAAATTCAAACTATACATTTTTTTCCTGTAATTATGTATAGTTTGAATTTTAAGTGGTTGGAGGAGTGGGTCCTTATGTGGGTTTAAAATAATAAGGAAGGTAGGGGGTTTTAGATTTTTTTAAGTTTAAAAAATAGGCAAAAAACAAGGTCACAAGTAAGTGATATATTTCTTGTTTTTCAGGTATATTCTTTATTTATTATTATAACATTAACTAAAATGTAAAAATTAGAAACTTATTAGATTAGAAAATTAAAAATAATAATGCTAAAAATTCTTCACAAGGTATATTCACAAGCAGCTTGTTTGTTACATAATTTGACATGTTAATGTGAGCTACACGTTCAAGTTATTTACATGTGTGGCAGGATTATTAGTTAGGTACAGATCAAGGAGAAGTATTGATTACAGATTAAAACATTATCTAAATGTTTTATTGTATCAATGATGGATATCAATTGACTGTGGATTGAAACATTTTCTAAATATTTTACTATACTGATAAAAGATGAGAACATTTTAAAAATGTTTTATTATATTGATACAGATTAAAACATTTTCTAAACATTATTTATTAGTTCAAGAATCTGACTACATGATAATTTTTCCTGATTACCAAATGAAATAGAAATAGTACAGTTTTTCAGGCTGATGGTCAGAGGGTTATCTGTAAATCCACAAGTTAATATAACCATTGAGCTGATAGTTAGGAAATTATCTAAATCCATATGTTAATATAATCATTGAGCTGATAGTTAGGAAATTATCTAAATCCATATGTTAATATAATCATTGAGCTGATAGTTATAGAGTTATCTGTAAATCTATGAGTTTAGATAGTCATTGAGCTGATAGTTATAGAGTTATCTGTAAATCTATGAGTTTAGGTAGCCATTGAGCTGATAGTTATAGAGTTATCTGTAAATCTATGAGTTTAGGTAGTCATTGAGTTGGTAGTTATAGAGTTATCTGTAAATCTATGAGTTTAGGTAGCCATTGAGCTGATAGTTATAGAGTTATCTGTAAATCTATGAGTTTAGGTAGTCATTGAGTTGGTAGTTATAGAGTTATCTGTAATCTATGAGTTTAGGTAGTCATTGAGCTGATAGTTATAGAGTTATCTGTAAAT